CCATAGTTTTCTAGTCTTCTTTTCAACAAGGAAAAGCAGACCCCGTCATCAGCCTTGGACCATCTACCATACAAAAGGGGAGACATCTTTTATTCTACCAGACCAGCCCTCGCCAAAAACTTACCTGGCAATTTGTACACCTGTACTTACACAGAGAGGCACAAATACACACACCCAAAAACACACATACTCCCAAAGGGACACACATAGATACACACCTACACAGAACTGTTACAGGAAGATGGTGGTGGAGAAATTGTTACCTCGGTTCTTTGTTTCACATGGAAGAAGAATTTCCAGGTGGACAAGCAGAGAGATTTAGATAGACTTATTAGAGTCAAAAACCTCCAGCCAGAGCGGCTTGGAGAGGGGCTTCCAAAAGATGAAAAAACCCAAAGAACCTCATGGCACTGGGGTTTTTTAAGTTTAATTTCGAAGGAAAAAAAAAAAAAAAAACTTGACAATTAGATGGGCATTCAGTTATCAGGTGGGGACAAAACCCATCAAAAGGTCTGATTTACCATTCTCCATCCTGTCTGGCCTGCTCATAATAAAACAAAAAAAAACAGAAGGGTGGGATAGGTGACTTGTTTCTACAATAAGCTTGGAGCTCAGGAAGAGCTCCCTTGCTATATTTTTGGTAAATTGGAGATTGCGAAGGAAGGAGGCGGCCCCTTTGTTCTTGCTAGCAATAATGTTTGGGGGGAGGAAGCAAATATTTTACAGCCCAAATGCCATTGGGACCACCCTGACTACCTATTAACCCATCTTACTCCTCACAGCAACACGCATACACACACAGGCACACGCGTACACAGAGAGACATACATGCATGGACATATAAACACCCACACACACACATGAGCACCTGAGGTTCACTTTGCTCCTCCCCAGGCAGTTTCCAGAAACAGCATCTCTTACACAACCCAAGGACATGCAGGAAATGGCCCCGCCACTCCTACTCTAAAGGGGTTTCCCAGCTGGAACAAAGGGAGCCACCATCTGCATAGGAAGACATAAGCCTCCCAGAGCCCCGTGGAGGAGGGCTAGATCAGACACCATCCAGGCTAGGTGGCTGTCTCAACAGGACTGCCCTTATCTCTTCACCCCTCACTGCCTCTGGCAGCCTTCTGACCCCAGTGTGGACTGCAAGCCAGTCCCATAGCTTCCTCTCTGGGGGCACCGTCGGGAGACACCGCCATGCAGCTAACCTCGCAGCATCAGGAAGGACCTGTGCCCTTGCCTCCATGCCGACGCCCAAAATCGCTTCAGGGGGCAAATCGTCCTTACAAACCACGGCCGGGATCATGCTCCAATCCTCCCTGAGGAAGGGAACTTTGCGCTGAAATTTCACTCCCCTCGAGAAGAAGCAGGCAGGTTTCACAGCAAGGAGCAGCCTGCCCAAGTGGAGCAGGTTGACAGGCAAGGGGGCGTGTCTGGGAGACCCGTGACAGAAGTGCCACACAGTACCAGAAATGCCACGTAGTGCCAGTCCAGCTACTGCAGAGCTACAAGTGTCAGAGTTAAGGCGCATCTGGTGTGGATTCTGTCCCTGCCACTTAATGGACATGAACATTCTTGCATGTTACTTAAACCCACGGAAGTAGACGCCTACCTTCCTGGTTTCATGGCCCCTGCAGCCTGTAACCACTCTTCTCTGCTAACAGAATTGCGATTTTCCTTCAGGCTGAATGCACCCAGCTCCGCCCAAGTGAGAGCACTGGGCTTGGAGCAGAGCAGCCCCACGTGCTCCGGCCTTCACCCTGATGCAGGGTGGCCCAAGCCTCACCTTAGACCAAAGAGACTCAGTCCTGAGACTTGCGCTGGAACTCTGGAGAAAAAAAAGATCTTCCTACTGCACTGGAAACCGAGAAACGGAGAAGCTACTGCCCATCACAGTGAAAAGCAGAACCAGGGGAGGGAAATTAGTCCTGATGACATCATTAAGACTGAGGTTCAGCTGTGCCCAAAGTCTTAGAATTTCTCCCAACGTGAATCAACCCCCCTCGGTTTGCCTAAGACAATTCTACCTCAACACTCACAACCATAAATCCCAAGTCATACAGTCTCCTCGTCTCCGTATCTCTCTATGGCAATAGGGAATAACATCAGCGCTTACTTTCCCTCTAGAGCCACGGTGAGGCGTCATCAAAAGGATGTGATCAGTTTAAGAGACTCAACCAGGAGTGGGCATTGTTGCACAGTGGGTTAAGCCACCATTTAGGACAGGGGCATCCCACATAAGAACGCCAGTGTGAGTCTGGCTACCCTGCTTCCAATCAAACTTGCCGCTAATGCACCTGGGAAGGCAGCAAATGATGGCTCAAGTACTTGGGTCCCTGTCACTCTTGTGGAGACCAGGATGGAATTCCTTTCTCCTGGCTTTGGCCTGGCCCAGACCTGGCTGTTGCGGCCATTCGGGAAGTGAACCAGACAGAACCAATTCTCTAACTCTCTCTCCCCTTCTCTGCCTTTCAAATAAATTAAACATTAATTTAAAAAAAAAAAAGAAACTGGACCAAATTTTAGGACAAATTAGTAGCAGAAATGTTCACACTCACCAAATATTCGCTGGGCTTCCCTCTGTCCTCCAGTCCTCTTGCAAGGATCTCAGCGGGGCCGTGCACCCAATCCTGGCCAGGGAGCCAAGAGTGGAGTTTCACCTCCTCACACGTCCTCTCTCGCCACCATGACTCCAAACAAACCGCGGCCCCACAAGGTTAACGCAGCGGATGGCTAGGTCTCCGCGTGAACTGCTAGACCTACATCAACTGGGTTAAGCCATAGAGATGAGAGAGGTTTTCGCTGTCATAGCACAGTCCGCCCTCCGCCAGCTCCTGGGAAGGGTTCCACAGCCACGCAGGTGAATGTCCTGAGCATCTGATTCATCCAAGCAGGTGGAAGCTCCACCCCCCAGACAAACGTCATCCATCTCCTAATTGTCATCCCATCTCCCAAGAGCTAGGGCCAGCCAGGCTGAGATTCCTCCCGGAGATAATCCAGGACTTGGAGGAAGGACCCGGCTTGGCAACGCTTTGCAGCACTCTCAGTACTAAATCTTAAATGCTGATTTCTTGTCTTGGCCCAGAAAACCCATTCTGACCTGGCTCCTCCTTACTCTAGCCTGCATCTCCTACCCAACCCCCTCCATCACCAAGCCCCTCCCTACCTCCCAACACCCCCCTGCAGTGCATTAGCCTCCTTCCATGCTCAGGGCTGGGCACAGCTGCTGCCTGTCTGCTGGGCTTTCCCCGGGGCTGGCTCATTTTCAGTTCATGGGTCTCGGCTTTTCCCAGCAGGCACTTGGCTGGGCCCGCGTGATCCCTCTGATGACAACCTCTCCAGTGTCTCTCAGCCTCTGCTCCTTTCCTCCTTCTCCTCTCTTCTCCCTTTCTCCTCCCCTTCCTAGTGTTCTGCTGCCTCTTTGACTTCCCTAGCACTGATTGGTTTGCTCTGCATTGGGTGAAACCCCACGCTCTCCATCTGGGTTTTCTCATCGACTCTCATGACCACCCCAGGTACCAATCAGCAAAAATCAAGATACTTTAAGCCGAAAGTACATTCATTGGTGGGCTACTGTGTAGCTCGCACAATCAGTGAAACACCTGGAACCAGTCAAGATTGGAGGCCAGAATCTCCCTGCTTGGGTCAGAGCACAGGCAGAGCCTGCATAGCACCCACCTCTGGGCGTGGGTCCCACTGCTGTCGTTGCCACCATCGGCCTTGGATGCACCTGCTGCTGCCTGAATCAGCGCTCACTGCACTTGCACCTTTGCACACTTACCTGCTCAGGCCAAGGTCTTAGGCAGAAATATCCGATTGTACCAGCTGAGACCAAAGCTTTTCCTTGCCTTGGGGGTGGAGATATCATCAGAGTCCTTGAGTGACAGGAGGGTTGCCTGCTGCAGTAAGCACACAGGGCAACTCCCAAAGCATAAGAAAGAGCTTCAAGTGCTGTCCAGCTCTAAAAGGAACAAGTGCCCACTCTCGTCGAGGAGGAAAAGTCAAATCACAAAGTTTTTTACTTTATTTCTTGTATTTACTTGAAAGACAGATGAACAGAGACCTCTTATCTACTGGTATACCCCTGTAATGGCCACAATAGCCAAGGCAGGTGACTAGGGGAAACTAGGAGCTGAGAACTCTATCAGAGTCTCCCACGTGAGTGGCAGAGGGCCAGGCACTTGAAGGAAGCTGGAATTGGGAGCTGAACCAGGATCCAAATCTCGGCACTGCATTATGGGACACAAGGGTGCTAACCAGCGTCTTAACCACTGCACCAAATACCTACCTCATCACAATTTTAAAAAATCCTTGCCATTACCAATGGCACCTCCACTAAAGAAATGTTGAACAAATACTTACAGACTGGCCACTTGAAAAGAGGCCTAACCCAGAGACTAAGGGTCCCACACTTCTAGCCACGTTCTGCTGGTGTGGATGGGCAAAAAAGCCACCCCCTCAGACATCTGTAGCTCAAGTTTCTCCTGGGCTTGTGGTTTCCCGTAGCAGAGCCAGACTATGGAGCCTCTCAAGTGTTGCTACCCAGTGTGACCTGGGAGCCGGCAGCACCGGACTCTGGACACACTGACCCTGAGGCCCCACTGCCACCTCCTAGGCCAGAATCTGCACCGTAATACGATCTCCGGTGATTCCTGCACCTAGGAAAGTTGGAGATGCACTATTCTAGAGCTTATTCTCCATACTGCCTGTATGTTGGGGATTTTTACAAAATACATGCTCCACCCCACTCCCAGAAATTCTATTATAATTGTCTCAATATCTGGCCTGGGCATCAAAAGTTTGAAAAAGCTCCCTGGGTAACTCCAATGAGAATCCAAAGTCAAATTCTACTTGAGAAAGACACAGTTGCCTCCCACCCACAACACCCCCAGACAGCAAAGCGTATTTGGGAAAATAATGCCAAGTCAGTAGTCATCTCTCCACACTCTCCCTCCTGAAGGGTCACAAGGAGGCACCATTTGCCAAAGGTGGTCCAGTCCCAGGAAGTGATTCAAAAACCACAGGACATTGATGTGGTCCCCACCACTGAGAACTCAGAGCTTGATGGTTCTTCATTTGTTTTTTAATTCACTTATTTATTTGAAAGTCAGAATTACAGAAAGCGAGCAAGTGAGCAATCTTCCAACCACTGTTTCACTCCCTAGATGGCCATAACAGCCCGGGCTGGGCCAGGTCAAAGCCAGGAGCTTCTTCCAAGTCTCCCATACAGGTGTCAGGGGTCCAACGATGTGGACCATCTTCCGCTGCTTTTCCAGGTGCATTAGCAAGGAGGTGAATTGGAAGTGGAGCAGCCAGACTGAAACCGGCGCCCACATGGGATGCCAGAATTGCAGGTGGCAGCCTAAGCCATTACACCCAACACCAGCCCTGATGGTTCATCTTTTTTCCCTACAAACATTCAAAAGGGAACCCAGAGGTCACAGTATCTAACCCTCTAATTTTACAGCAGGGGAAACTGAGGCAGAGAGAGAGAGAGTGCGGAACATCCACACCACTGTCCACTGGTTGCACACCTGTCTGCCACTCACTGTGTCTGCAGGGGAGAGCATGCCTGAGGAAGATACGCTGAATGAGTGTGTGGTCAAAAGTTCATCCCCAAAATGTTCACTATTAATAAGGAGGTTAAGACTCCAGTCAATCCAGCCACGACCGCAGCCCCATGAAAGCCATTTACTCAGCGTGCTCTCATCTGATTACGGGTAGGAACAGTAATTGGAAACAGGCTTTCTCCATGGGCTGGGATTCAGGAAATGGAAACCTCTAATGCAATTCTGCCTGGAAGAGGCAACGCGCACCATTGCGTGCAGCGGAGACGCTCACAAGGCCTCCCTGGGGAGCAGGAAGAAGCGCACATTCCAGGAGGGGTAGGAGAAACAGGCTTAGAAGACAAGATCACTGACATCCGGGAACCGCATGGCCCCCTGGATAGCGGCACAGGCACCCCACTGGCTGTGCCAGTGCCTGGGGACAATTGCTACAACAGGAATTAGGCAAGACTGCATTGCTGGTTGTGGTCTTGGGGTTATCCTCACTGAGTACATACAGGGTCTTAGCAGCCAGGTTCTCTATTCTCATGATATCATTTAATCCCCAAAACCAGAGGAGGAAGCTGAGGCTTATAGTGGTTTGAGTTACTTACCCATAGGCCCAGAGAGGAGTTACAAAGCCAGGAAGGAGGCCCATGAGCCTCAATCTGAGCCCAGAGCACTGGCACCCACTCCAGCACACGGTCCACCCTTACCCATCACCACAGCCTGAGCTCCTCATCAGGACCTGCTGCTCCTGGCAGGGGGAGATGAGAAGAAGCACCGTTGGAGCAGGTGGGCAGACGCTGGTCAGAGGAGGTGGGCACTGGGAGGAGGGACATGACAGATGCAGCCCCTGACCCCTCGGCGGGCACCAGCCGCAGGAGAGCCGCTGTCCCAGGAGCGGTGCCCCTGGCCATCTGCTGCAATACACACTCACCACAGTTGGACCCTGCGTCCACCACCACTCCTGGCGCATTCTGGCCTTCCAGGGACAGAGATTTGGCCACCATTTGCAGATGAGCCCGAGTGGAGCCCGTCTCCAGCGGATACCACTTAGCAAGTTCATGGCTCGGCGGTTACCAAGAAGGATTACCAGAAGCCCCACGCTCTGGAGCCAGATTTTCCACCACGCAGCTGCAGGTGGCTTCTCGTCGTTGCCGGCAGCCTTGTTAACAGGACCTGATCTGTAGATCATCATTTTCCCATCTGGTGCCCACCAGCTGCGCGGCTGGTGCTGGGGAATTGATTTTCCATTCTCTCTCTTTTCCTCCCTCCCTCTCTCACTCTTTCTGCACCTCTGCGTTTCATTCCAAATCAACTTATTCATCAATTCAAAACCTCCTACCCCATTTTCAAGCCAAATCCAAACTTGCTCTGCTCCCTGTTCCATACAAACACTATCAACCCAGGGGTTTTGTCTGATCAGCAAGGTGGCAGCCCAGTAGCTAACTCGGGCCCACCCTCCTTTCCCCCTGAGTCTGCCCAGGGAGGGTTCAGAAATGCCAAGACCATGTGGAGGAGGGTGGAGCAGAAGAAGAAAAGCCAAATCAGCCTGTCCATGAGGTCCCTTCTGGCCTCCTGGCCACTCTGGAGTCACCTGCTGAGCCCTTTTCATTTTAGGTCGTGGGCGAACTGAGGCGGAGCCTGGCCTCTTTAACAACAATCCTTAGGAAGCTTTTCCTCCCCTGACATCCTGCTGTCTCCTGGGCCCTCGGGCCTCCCAGACTCGCCTGGCGGAGGTGCTGCTTCTGCAGAGCTCAGCCCAGGGAGTAGAAAGCCAAGCTCCCTCCTCGAGGTCTCTGCACCAGGTCTTCCCGGCATCCCCTCCAGCTCACCTCCCTGCCTGCAGCCCTGACACTCTCGCTGTGGTCCCAGTGAGGGAGGCAGGCAGCTCTTGCCCCCTTGCCTCTTGTTCCTAGGTAATCCCCTCTGCTAGGAGTCCCTTCTGTTCCCCAAGAGACAAGCCTATCTAAACACAAAGCCAGCAGAAAGTGCCTCTCACCTCTCCTTTCTGCTGTCCCAAAGAGGGGCTGGGAGGAAGATAGGACTGTCACCAACAATGCAAGGCAGGGCCCCCCCCCCCCGAGGAAAAAAGAGGTAATGCCAATGGCAAAATTCAGTTCATCCATAGTTACAAAATACAATCCTCTCTCTAGCTGAGCACCTGGGGCTCAGAGACAGCTGGCATCCAGGCCAAGGACACAGAGCTTGTGAAACAACAGGAACCGGAAACTAGCATCAGGAATCGGAGATACAGGAGAGAACGTGGAGAATTTCTGGTCCATGGGGGCTCATGGTGAGTCACAGTCACCTGGTCTTCCACGGGAATCTGCCTTTAACAAGAGCCCCAGGAAATTGTGCAAGGGGTCATTCTTGGCTCTTTGGAAGCAATTTTCCAGACGGAGTCACAAAGGCGCGGGGAGAATGTGCTCTCACAGTTATAATTTCTAGTCTGCCTGCTTACAATGAAACTGAGACCATTTGTAACTACCCCGCGGCAGCAAGACCAGAGCACAATGCCCCACAAGGGTTCCCAGTTCTAGGAACCACTCTGTGGTCCGCCTTCCATCCTGGCCTCCCTCCCTCCAAAGGAAACATTTTGTCCACTATTTTACCACCCGGAACCCATCCAGGCTCTAAAAATCATGCAGGAAGCCAAGACGGTGGGGAGGGAAACCCAAGTAGAAGAGCCTGTGCCTAGGTGTGACTGCCATGGACGAGAAGCAATGGGAACACCTGGCTTATTCTGGCCGAGCATAGATAATCCAAAGATCCTGATCTGACCAGTAAGGACTCTTTTAGTCCCAGCAAACTATCTGGTGAAACCTGAATGTTGTGGTTTGTTTAGCAAATAATGACCAGGTGCCTCCAGTATTCCCACCGCCTTCCTCCCACTGCAGACACAGGTAGAAATGTCTCGAACAACCCTGCTCTTACTGAAGACAGGAACAAAAGGAGAAAACAAAAAAATATATAAAATAATGTTTACTGCCCGTGAAAAAAGGCCACAAAGAATGCTAACAAGAGGCTGAGCTTGCACACGGATTGGCAGACCTTGTGGACCATACGGTCTCTGTCGCAGCTTCCCAGCTCTGCCACTATAACCCAGAGACAGCCAAAGCCAGTGGGAAAGGGGACGGCTGTGGCCGTGGCCCCAGTCAACTTGACTTAGCAAAGCAAGCTGTGGTCAGAGGTAGCCATGGAGTGTGCAGACCCCTGAGCACAGCAAAGAGAACCACAGTCCATGGGTGGTCACAGAGGACTTCCCTGGGGCGGTGATGGGGCAGTGAGGAGGTGAGGAGGCACCGCCCCACGAGAGAAGGGAGGGGTGAGCTTGGTGCAAGTGCAAGGGTAAGTCACTGAAGTGATGAGCTGGCATCATTTGAGTGACTTTTTTTTTTCTTTTCTTTTCTTTTTTTTTTTTTTTTTGACAGGCAGAGTGGACAGTGAGACAGAGAGAAAGGTCTTCATTTGCCGTTGGTTCACCCTCCAATGGCCATCGCAGCCGGCGCACCGCGCTGATCCGATGGCAGGAGCAAGGTACTTATCCTGGTCTCCCATGGGGTGCAGGGCCAAGAACTTGGGCCATCCTCCACTGTACTTCCCTGGCCACAGCAGAGAGCTGGCCTGGAAGAGGGGCAACCAGGACAGAATTCAGCGCCCCGACCAGGACTAGAACCCGGTGTGCCAGCGCCGCAAGGCGGAGGATTAGCCTAGTGAGCCGTGGCGCCGGCTTTGAGTGACTTTCATCTTGGAAGTATCATGCCTTTGAAAGCTGCTTTGTCGAATATGGGTCTGATGTGGGAGACACGGAGGCAGCTGGCACAGGTTCTCAAGCTTCTTCATTGGGCAGCGGGTGTGGCAGTCAGCACCAGGGCAGGGAAAAGCGACATCTGAGATGGGCTAGAGGCAAAGGATGGAGTTGGAAGGGGAAGGAAAACGAGGCTCAAGGACCACAGCCAGGTGATCTGCTGAGCAGATGGGCAGGGGCAGGGACTCCAAGGTCCCCATAACCTGCCACACTGCAGTTCTCTGAAAGGGGGGAAGGGGCAACGGTGCCACAGCAGGTGGAAGAAGCCATGGAAAGGATCAGCTGAGCCTCAGGCTGTTCGCTGCTTCGGTGAGCTTTAATTAAGCACCAGCTGTGTGCCTGGCACAGAGCTGGAGCGTACAACCCCAGCCTTGATGGCATGGGCAGGGTAATGAGGAGCAGGACAGGTAAGCCAGATGGCACGTCTCCTCTCTGCCTGCCCCCACAAGCATGTCTCAGGTTCCCAGACATCACAAGGGCAGTAGAGGCTGGGGAAGCCTAGCAGCGACCTCTCCAGGTGTTGGAAAGAGCCAGAAAGCTTCTGCAAGTTCACTGTTACCCTTATGTGCCTTAAAGAAAAGCTGGGCTGGATCAGGTTATTTAAATGTCAGCCTGGCACAGAGGACAGAGCATGTGGGTTGGTGGGGGGGTGGGGTTGTCTCTGCTTGGATGTCACTGTTTTTCTAAAAGGAAAGTCCTCTGAGGAGACCTAGACAGCCCAAGGAGATCTAGGCTTTGGTCCTGTGCTACCTCAGAGACAACACCCGTGGGTGACCTTGGGAAAGCCACATGCCCCTTCCTGGCCTTGGGGACCAATCTGTAAACTTGGAGTGGGATCGGGTGCTCCCAAGGCCCATGTTACCCTGACCCATGATGCCTGGAGTCCTGCCTTTACTGTGAATTTTCTGCACTGAGCAATGTCATTCCCCAGTGTCGCTGGCCCCGAGGGTCGGTGGCACCTGAGTCATGATCACTGCCGCCCTGTGTGGGATCTGTGGAACACAGGCCAGAGAACGGGGAGCCCTTCTCACCAGAGGTCAGAGCCAAGTTTAACCTCTGTTAAACTTGTTTACACGTGGTGGTGACATGGAGCACCCCTAAGTTTGCAGTGAAACACAGCTGGCACCGACCCTCCCTCACCACAGACCTTGTGGGGACCTGCATGGAGCCATTTCTGATCTCCCCGAACTGACTACCACCCCACACCCCAACTCTGCATCCAACCTTCTGCACAGCCTCATCCCATGGGTTCTGTCACTTTGCGCTTGTTGAGGTCACTGACTCAGCAACTGTGTAGGAAGCACCCACTCTGCGGCAGACGCAGCACGGAGAGCTACGGACACAGGACAAGCAAGACAGACCCAGGCGTACCCAGAGAGCCCTGCATCTGCTGGAGGAGTGAGCCTCGCAAGTGAGTCAGAACCCTAACTGTACTGAGCGCGCCACAGAAGGGAAAAGCAGAGTGATGTGACAGAGGGGCAGGGGCCTGACTCCACTTAGATGGGGTTAGGGGTGCATGGGGTGGTCAGGGAAGGCCCCTCTGTGGAGAGCTCTTTTTCTTTTTTAAAGATTTATTTATTTATTTATTTGGGGCAGTGTTACAGAGAGGCAGAGGCAGAGGCAGAGAGAGAGAGAGAGAGAGAATCTTCCATCCGCTGGTTCACTCCCCAATTGGCTGCAACGGCCAGAGCTGCACCGATCAGAAGCCAGGAGCCTCCTCCAGGTCTTCCACATGGGTGCAGGTGCCCAAGGACTTGGGCCATCCTCCACTGCTTTACCAGGCCATAGCAGAGAGTTGGATTGGAAGTGGAGCAGCTGGGACTTGAACCGGCACCCATATGGGATGCCAGCACTGCAGGCAGCAGCTTTACCTGCTACACCACAGCACTGGCCCCAAAGCTGAGTTTAAAAGGGATATCTATGGGAGGGTTAGGAGGAGCACCTGTGAGGCATGGAGAGAACATAGACCCCAGGTCACAGGGCAGAAGGAACCAGACTGTTCCAGGCCTGGCAGGCCATGTGAATGGAGTTGGATGTTTTTTTCCAGATGTAACGTTCAGTGCCATTTACAAAGGGTCTCTGTTGGATTCCTAGAGCTATCATAACAAAGTATCAACTAGGTTTCTCAAAGCAGCAAAAATTTAGGGCCAATGTTGTGATGCCAGCATCTGATATGAGCACCAATCTGAGTTCTGGCTGCGCTGCTTCTGATCCAGCTCCCAGCTAATGGGCCTGAGAAAGTAGCAGAGGACGGCCCAAGTCCTTTGGTTCCTGCCACCCATGTGGGAGGACCTGGATGGAGTGCCAGGCTCCAAGCTTGAGCCTGCTCCAACTCCAGCTGCTATGGCCATTCATCTGGGGAGTGAACCAGCGGATGGAAAACATTCTCTCTCGCTCTCTCACTCTGCCTTTCAATTAAATAAATATTTTCTAAAAGGCAACAGAAATTTATCCCCTCACAGCTCTGAAGGGTGCAAGTCAGACATCAGGAAGCTGGCAGGCTGGCGGGCATTTGGCCCAGTGGTTAAGGGGCAGACTCCAATGCCCACGCCCCCTGCCATTAAAATGCCTGGGCTCAAGTCCCAGCTCCAGCCCCCAACTCCAGCTTCCTGCTGAGGCAGATCCTGGGAGGAACCATGATGGCTGCAGTAACTGGGTCCCTGATACCCACGCGGGAGACATGGATTGATTGAGTTCCCAGCTCCTGGCTTCAGGCCAGCCCACTCCTAGCTGTTGCAGGTACCTGGGGAGTAGCCCAGAAAATGAGAGATCTCCTTGTCTGTTGATCAGTTTCTCTGTGTCTGTCTGCCTCTCTGCCCCTCAAACAAATAATCTATAAGAATAAAATATGTCTGCATCACCACACTCCCAGCATAAGCTCAAGGGAAGACTCCTTCCACATCTCTTCCTGGCTGCCGGCACAGCCCATCACTGCTGGCATTCTTTGGCTTGTAGACACATGGCTCGGACCTCTGCCTCTGTCTTCCTCTGGCCTTCTACTCTCTGTGTCTCTGTATCATCTTCTTTTCTTGGGATACCAGTCATTGGATGTAAGACCCACCCTAACCCAGCATGACTTCATCTTAACTTAATGATGTCTGCAAAGACTCTTATTCCAAATACGGTCACATTCAAGGTTCTGGGTAAACATGAATCCTGGGGAGGCACAATTCAACCCATTGAAAGATTTCAGTCAGCAGGGGGATCTGATGGGATTTATGTCTCAGAAATAGGACCCTGGCTGCCATGTGAAAAATGGATCAGAGTGAGCAAGGGAGAAAGCAGGCGCCAGTGAGGGGCCGAGGGGAGATGGAGAGGAGGGGATGGATCTGAGATCTGTTAGGAGGCTCAGTGGACACCACAGGCCATGGGCCGGAAGTGAGGGATCAAAGAGAGGGGCTAAGACGGGCGCCCAGTGGCTTGGACACCAGATGTGCTTTGCAGGATGAGACAAGCCCCTTTTTCCTCCTGCTGAGATGTTGCCTCCTGCTGAATGAGGCACTCAGTAATGCTAGCACACTGACGGGTGGCTCAGAGCATCCTTGTGCCAGGGAAGGCATCTGCTGGATGCACAGCTCTTTCTCCACTTTGCAGCTGATGCCTCCAAGCTCAGTCTCTGGTTTGGACAGCATTTTCCTACCTGAATTCCTGATCTTCCCCCACCCCCATTCTGTTTCCAGGGCACTTGGTGAATTGCTGCCATTGCTATTTGCTCATCAACCTCTCATCAGGCCACAGGGCCTTTGCAGGAGACGCAGAGCTCACACCTAATTTCTCTAATGCAGCACAGCCAGCCTGTGGCTGTGTCATCATTAAGTGGGTACCAAGGGACAGGATGGAGGAGGATGAAAATGCTGGTTCTCAACCCTCCTACAGTTCCCAGCAGGAATGACCCCAATGTCAAAATACAGGCAACAGAGGGAGGCTGCTGGACGAAACTGCAGTGCAGACAACACCAGAACTCTGTCTCCACCAATGGCTTCCACAAGCAGCATCCTAGGGACTGGCTTTGACCAAGGGCAAAGCTTTTGATTTGCACCTTGCCTGCTTTTTGACAAGGAACCTGGAAGCAGTTCTGTAAGCTTGAGAGGAGCCTGTGACCACTGGAGGACAAAGATGTCTGCAAAGTGGTCAGACATAGAAGAGAATATCCCATGGGCACATGCATGGGCATGCACATGTGTGCATGCACACAGGCACACACATGCAAACATACATACATAGGTATGTATGCATAAGTGTACACACACTGAGACATGTGTATACACACACACATGGACACAGGTGTGCATACACAGAGGCATGCACGTGCACACACACTGGACACACATGTGTGCATAAGCACATGGGCACACACAGGCACTGGTATGTGTGCAGATGTGGACACGCATGCACATACTGTTCAGTGGGCCGTCTTTTTATTTGTGCTTTAAAAATGCTGGCACTACAAAAATATGAATCTGACTCTGATCAAGCCTCCAGATTCAAGTTGCAGGCTAAACAAAGGACAGAGGAACATGTTATACAGGCCCCCAGGGATGCAACAGTAAGCACCAAGTATGGGAAACAAAGAAAAGACAACCAGATTTCTTCATAAATATGTCACAAGGGGAAAAGAGGAAGAGAGAAACAACAGCTCAAAAGAAAGTTAAAAGACTTAATTGCATGCAATGTGTAGATCTTGAGCAAATGAATTGCTAAATCTAAGACCCTATAACATCAAAATACTAGAGAACATTGGAGAAACTCTGAAAGACAAAGATTTCTTGGCAATGACTCCAGAAGCACAGGCAATCAAAGCCAAAATTGACAAATGGGAATTACATCAAGCTGAGAAGCTTCTGCACTGCAAAAGAAACACTCAGCAAAGTGAAGAGGCAACTGACAGAATGGGAGAAAATATTTGCAATCTACACAACTGATAAAGGGCTAACATCCAGAATCTATAAAAAGCTCAAGAAATTAAACAATACAAACAATCCAGTTAAGAAATGGCCAAAGGACTTGAACACATTTTTCAAGAGAGAAAATCCAAATGGCCAACAGACACTAGAAAAAAAATGCTCAAGATCACTAGCCAGCAGAGAAATCTAAATCAAAACCACAATGAGGTTTCACCTCACTCCAGTTAGAATGGCTCTCATCAACAAACAATAAATGCTGGTCAGGATGTGGGGGAAAAGGTACCCTATTCCACTGTTAGTGGGAATGCCAACTGGTACAGCCACTGTGGAAGACAGTATGGCGATATCTCAAAAAGCTGAATATAGACTTCCCATGATACATCCATCCCACTCCTGGGAATTTACCCACACCAAAAGAAATCATCTGGAAAAAGTTATCTGTACCCCTATGTTCGTTGCAGCATAATTCACAAAAGTGAAGAAATGGAATCAACCCAGCTGTTCATCAACTGTCCACTGGATAAAGAAATTATGGTACATAAACACTATGGACTACTACTCAGCAGAAAGAAGGAGGAAGGAGGAAGGAGGAAGGAAGAAGGAGGAAGGAGGAAGGAAGGGAGGGAGGGAAAAAGTCCTGTCTTTCCCAACAAGATGGATGCAGCTGGAAACAATTATACAATTATATAAACAATATATATAATATATAAACAATTATATAAGCCAGTCCCAAAAAGACATCACATGTTTCGCCTGATCCAGGGTAACTAAGAGAGTACCTAGAATGTAATGTATTGGAGTGAAATGGACGTCTTGCGATTGTTCACAGCCCTTGTCTCTTCTATTGAGAAACAGTGGTTTTTTTTTTCTTCATACTATTTGTTGAACTTTACTTGGTGTAGTTATCTATGCAATAATTAGTAAACTGAAAATAGATCTCTGTAAAAAATAAAAATGTGGGGGGCGGCGCTGTGGCTCACTTGGTTAATCATCCACCTGTGGCACCGGCATCCCATATGGGCACTGGGTTCTAGTCCCAGCTGCTCCTCTTCCAGTCCAGCTCTCTGCTGTGGCCTGGGAAGCAGTGGAGGATGGCCCAAGTGCTTGGGCCCTGCACCCACATTGGGGACCAGGAGGAAGCACCTGGCTCCTGGCTTCAGATCGGCGCAGCACACCGGCCATGGCGGCCATTTGGGGGTGAACCAACAGAAGGAAGACCTTTGTCTCTGTCTCTCTCGCTCACTGTCTATAACTCTACCTGTCAAATAAAAAAAATTAAAAGTGGGAATGTGAGAAAGAGGAGGAAGAAGGGTTGGAGCGTGAGTAGAAGGGAGGGTGGGGGGAAGTGTCACTATGTTCCTAAATCTGTATATACGAAATACATGAAACATGTATAACTTAAATAAAATTTTTAAACATTTTAAAAAAGAAAAAAACAAGTTGAGGCCATTGAACATGGACTGGAATTACTGCTGATGTTTTTAGGTGTTAAAATGGGATGGTGATTACACTTTTTGAAAAAGCCCTGGAGCCACCACTGAAGTGTAGTAGGCCAAGTCTCCACTTGCAACGGCAGCATCCCATATGAGCACCAGTTTGTGTCCTGGCTGCTCCACTTCCAACCCAGCTCCCTGCTAATGCACCAGGGAAAGCAGTAGAAGATGGCCCAAATCCCCTGCACCCACATGGGAGACCTGGAAGAAGCTCCTGGCTTTGGATTGGCTCAGCTCTGGCCATTGCAGCCATCTGGGGAGCGAACCAGCAGATGGAAGACCTCTCTGTCTCTCTCTGTGTCTATAACTATGCCTCTAAAATAAATAAATGAAATCCAAGGAAGGAAGGAAGAAAAGAAAATAAAGACTCCTTGTGCTTTAGGGCTGCCTAGTGAAGCACTTATGGTTGAAATGGCCTGACCCAAGAGAGCTGCTCTGACATAGTCCGGTGGTGCAGGGGCGTGTTGGACGGAGCTGGAACAGAGTCAATCCCGTGTCGGCAGTTGTTGAGCTGGACGATGGGAATGCTGGTCTTTATGATTCTGCTTTTCTGCAAGTCTGGGAATCTCCTCTGTGACTAGAAAAATTTTTAAGGGAAGGAAAATAAAGACTTCTGTCTAGGAGACTCTCCTCTTCACCCCTGGCCAACTGCGACCCTCCAGAACATTCTGGATTCTCCCCAAGCCCCACCTTCCCCTGGGGTGAGCATCCCTACCCTACATAGAGACTCTTTGGTGTTAGTTACCTCCCTTCTCCTGGGACATTTCAACAAGGCATCAGATTGATGGGCTGTCCAACCATGGGACATATATATATATATATATATATATATTGCTCCCCCAAGAAGGCTTGCTTGAAACCCCAGCTGGCTACAGGGGGCCTCTCCTCCGGGTCATGCTGACAGTCAGGGCTGACCACACTGCCTGGGCATCCCTCGTGGGACTCCAAGCCGTCCTCAGACCTCGCACGCAGTAAACGTGCAGGGACTACGATCAGGCCGACTCAAGGAGCGAGCTCTGGGTTCCAGCCCTTCGGGGCCCTTTCTGCAGAGAGCTCTCTGACACACCGGCATGGGGGTGCAGCAGGCTAAGCCAGGGCTTGCAACAATGGCACCGTGTCAGAGTGCATGTTCCAGACCCGGCTGCTCCACTTCTGATTGAGCTCCCTGCTAACGAGCCTGGGCAGGCAGCAGAAGGTGGCCCAAGTCATTGGGTTCCTGGCATGCACATGGGAGACCCAGATGGAGCTCCTGGCTCCTGACTTCAGCCTGGCTCAGCCTTGGCAGTGGGGGGCATTTAGAGAATGAACCAGCAGATGGAAGAACTGTGTGTGTGTGTGTGTGTGTGTGTGTCTTTCCCTCTTTGTCAGTCTGCATTTTTAATAAATAAATGTCAAAACAAAAGACTCAAAGTTACAATGCAGAAGCCTCCTTTGAAAGCTTGCTCTGTCTCTGCTCTGCAGTGGGGCCCTGGGCAGCAGTCTTAGCCTTTTTGAGCTTCCCCCTCTATACACAATAGTGATGGCTCAGGTGGTACAGAAAGGGTGGCCACTGCCCACCGCCTACCGGCTTCAAAGCCAGCTCCGTGACACCACTCTTCAGTTGAGAGCTGCACTGATGGGAATGCCCCAAAGCTCCAGCCCAAAGCAGTTCCCCCAGCAGTCCTGGCAGCCCATGGCCCGGTGACGTCACCACGTGCACCCCACCAGTGTCCCCACGTCATCCCCTCCAGCACTGCACAGAGTCCTCAGACTCTGCCCGACCTTCACCTCCAAGGCGCTCATCACGATGGAGGTCTTCACCCAGATCCCTGACCAACGAATACCCTAGCCTTTCAGACAAGCCACAAGCCCGTGGCTGGACGACCCCAGCAGGTGGCTCTTTTCAGATGGGAGGAATGGTTGCTGGGACAGGAGCATCCCCACGGGGAGAAGACGAACAGGGCAAGCAGGCCCAGCACTCAGTGAGTGAGGCTGAAACCCCGACAAGAACTCTGCACCCAGCCCTGTCTAGCAAGTCCAGAGATATGGGAGGAATCAGTGGCACCAACCGCCACTTCCACCAAACTGACACCTCCGCCTGGGGACGCCGTGGGCACACAAGCTGCAGCAGGACCCACAGGAGAGGCCTGGCCCAAGGCCGTGCCTGAACGCACCTGCCCCGGGGCCACATGACACTCGCTGGCTCCTCCTGTGGGCGGTGCGAGCCCAGCCCAAAGCCAGAGTGGGATATAGAGATATTCCCCCCAAAAACCTGGCCCAGAAGCACCTAGAGGAGGGAGCCAGGCCTAGAGCCAGCCTCCCAGGTGGCTTTGCTGCTCCTGGAGCACACACGCCCTGTGGTTTAAGTGAGCTCCAACTGCGCGCAGGGCCACGCCAGCCCCCCACATCCCCCCCCGGGGGGGGCAGAGGTGCGGGGAGGGGGACAAGGACAAGAGCAAACGCACGGAGAAACCCACCCTGTAGGGAGGTGCCAAGGTAACCCGAGGTGCCTGTACAGGCAGACACACGCTGGGGCCGCTAGACGGGTCCCCAGGGCTCACACTGGCAACAGCTGGGGCAACAGTTGGTCTGCGAGTACCCAAGCAAACAGCGGCCACACCTGAGGGGCGGCGCAGAACAGGGGGCTGCAGGGGTCCAGGCTGCGGGAAGCTCAGGCTCGCAGCAGCCTGGGAAGCCCGCACCCGCGACTGGCGGCCGTTTGCGGGGTGCTGGCGCCCTCTAGTGGACGACACGGCTGCCAGCTCCCACCCGACTCCGCCCGACTCCACCCTGCACAAAGTTTGCAGGGCCCAGTTGTGCGGCCAAGCCAGCACGGTAGCGTGTAGGATGCCTGTCTTCCCATAGACCCCAGACACAAGGCGACCCTCTCCCCGGCTTGCCCCGCTGGTCCGTTTTACAGGTGTGGAGCCGGCGTCTTGAGCAACCATCAGACCCGGTGCGCGGCCTCCCTGGGAGCAAGCGAGCCTAGAGTCGGCGAAATGGGCCGAAAAGCCCTGGCCGGACACCCCGCCGTCCGCGGCCACGGCCAGTATCCCTGCGCGCTCCGCAGACGCCTGGCCACACCCACTCCGACCCCTTCTGCCCTCTGTCCGTTCCGTCATAGGTCCCGTCCCGGGGATGAAGTCCCGGCGCCCCCTGGTGGACCCAGCCGGAATGCCCTGCTGCCTGGTGAGGGCATAGCCTGGGTTCCGCTCTGGAAGACAGAGGCGGCTGGCAGGTGCCAAGGCATTCGTCCTGTAGGCGCCTGTCCCTGCTTACAGGGTGGCTCGAGAGGCCATCCGGAAAGGGGCAGACCCCTTGGCGGAGCCCCCATCTAAAAAGCATTTCCGCTGCCCCAGGCTGGAGCAGACGCTTGGTGCATGTCCCTTACCCCATTGCACAATCCCTGTTCGGGAGGGCGGTTAAGGCAGACGCAAGCACAGGTCGCACAGCTGGGAGGGGCAGAGCCGCAGGCAGCCTTAGCCAGATCCCAGGCACAGAATCAGGGAGCTACAAAAACCCTGGGCCACATGCGCAGACAATGCAATTGTACCGGAGCAGCCCCAGGCCAGGCCCTGCCTTGGCTGTTCAGGGCTCCGCAGAGAGAAAGTTGCGAAATGGCCTCGCAGGTCACAGCCTTCTTTCCTGCGTCACCCGAGGCAGGGCGGTGAGCCTGGCCAGTCCGCCACTACCAGCGCATCCCCGCCCCGCCCCGCCTCTCCCCGCCTCCCCAGCAGTCTCTGTCCTGGCCTGGGGGACTGGGGGGAGGGGGCCACTCCTGAAGCTGACAAGGGGCCTGGGAAAGGCTTGACCTGTTTTTTGGCAATGATTAAATCCCCTGCCTAGTACATGCCTCCCTTCTATCTCCCCTCACTCATCCCCGACGCCACCCCCACACGTGGTGACAGCAGGGACTCAGCACATCCAAGGTCAAGGAAACCCGGGACTCTCCCGGCCAGGCCTGGGTTTGAGCACCTGCTGCTCACCCTGCCCTGACCCTTGGGCGGCTGGCAAGACTTTCCGCACGCCCACCTGCTCACCTGCTCAGGAGCCAGCGGCGGCGTGTCCACCTGTGAGGCCGACAGCTCTGCCCCTGCGCTCAGGCGTTTCTCCCCTGA